TCACTAGCCGCTGGGCCACCAGGAAAGTCCCTGCTGGGTCATTCTTCCATTTTCTCTCTCTCTCTGTTTCCCTCCCACCCACCCCACCCCACTCACAAATATTACTCACCCCATGCCACATTCAGCAAGCTCCTACTCTTAGCTAGCTGTCAAGAATGAAAGCAACCCAGATAACTTAGGGAGTCATGATTGATATCAAATCAATGATATACATACATTTTTGTTTGATAAGTGAAGTAGCTTATATTAACTAATAGATTAATAAATGTGCTTCTCAACCAACTTTGTCCTAGTCTAGTCCTGGTACCTGAAACTTTGTTTTATACTTATTCTTTATTTCCTTCAACAACTTATTATGAAGATTTAAAGTATACAAAAAAGTTGAAAAAACTTTACAGTCAGCATCTGTCCCACCACCTAGTTTGCAGTATGAATATTTGACTGTATTTGTTGTATCGAGTCTGTGCATCTTTTTATACTTCTGTCCACTCCTCAGCCCATCTTATTTTTGGAAGCATTTTAGGGTAATTGCATACATCAATACATGTCCTCCTAAATATTTCAATATGCACATTGTTCAGAGTTCCATATTCGTTTTTTGGTTTTTGGCCACACCACATGGTCTGTAGCATCTTAGTTCTCCAACCAGGGACTGAACCTGAGTGATGGCAATGAAAGTGCCAAGTCCTAACCACTGGACCACCTGGGAATTTCTAAGAGTTCCATATTTGTTTAGTTCTTCATGTAGAATTTCCAGACAACAAAATGTACAAATCTTAAATGAACATCCTCTGAGGTTTGAAAAGTGCTTACCACCTATTAACCAAAACCCCTTCAAGGTATAAAATGTTGCCATAGCCCACAAGAGTACCTCCCTGGACCCACCATACCTGGAGGCGACTAGTGTTCTGATTTTTTCTCCACATTATATTTGCTTTGCTTGTTCTAATACTACATTTAAAGGACTTGTACAGAATGCACTCATTTGTGTACAGCTTCTTTAACTCCATCTAACATGGAGATTCACTCATGTTCTTGCTTGTATCAGTAGTTAATTCTTTCTATTGGTAAGTAGTAGTCCATTGTATGAGGATACCACAGTTTTATATTTTTTTATTCTCATGTTAGTGGACACAGAGTCTAATTTTCAGCAATTATGAATAAAGTTACTATGAAATGTTATGTACAAGTCTTTTTTGTAAGCATATTTTTGATTTTTGCCTTGTTTTGTTTTGGCCACACTGCACACATGCGGGACCTTAGTTACTTGACCAGGGGTCGAACCTGTGCCCCTTGCAGAAGTCTTATGCACTGGACTGCCAGGGAAGTCCCATATTTGCCTTTAAAGATGATATATTCTGATTTATATTACTTGTAAAAGTAAAATATGCAAAATATAGAGAATATATAAAATCATAGTGAAGAAAAATGAAAAGTCATAATTATTGCCCAGAATTTTATGTAACTGAAAGAAGTATGATCTCTCAACCTAAAGAAGTATTTCCTCATGGTGGAAAGGCACCAGCAGCCCACGGGCCACATGTTCAGACCAGGCCATCATTTGGTCATGACGTTTGCCTTCTCAGCTGTCCAGAAGCAGAGATTCACAGAAGACAGTGTCTTGTGCATGACTGTCCCCAGAGTCAAGGATGGTGCCAGTGCCAGTTCAGTGACCAGGGACTGGTCACTGACTACTCAGCAGGATGGCAGGCACTTAGACAAAAGTGCCTTGACTTTCTCTCCTAAAGGCACAAACATTGCCTGTTACAAGAATTTACACACTCGACAATTACCTTCAGAAAGTTCATCTGTCCTGGTGAGGGACAATGCCAGAAGACCAACGTTCCTTTGGCCTGTGAATATAAAGAGGTAGAACAGAGGTGTCACTGTAGGCACCAGCCTGAACTGGTTGCTCATCTCAGGTCTGCTTCTGGGGAACCTGGAGTCCCTGAGGCTAGTTTTCTCTGGGAAATTAGGGTTAGATGCCTAGATGGCCTCTTAGGCTTCATCTAGATCTGGGATGAGTTATGAGCTATCCAGCCTCTGGATTCAGGAATTTTTCTAAATGCTGCTTCATGTCTCCATGTGAGTGCTTCCCAATGCTTGTTCCTTTTGGCTTGGTTATGTCTCAGGACAGAGGGGTATCCTGTAGGGGTACCCCATTGCTAGAAACCACCGATACGTGAGCAGAGAGATGCAGATATACACATATGCACATCCAGTTCTAGGTTAAAGATTGGCTGAGTTAGTAAAAAGACCATGTTGACAAACCAGCACTGTGCCAGACACATACATGATAGATGCCTAGGTGTTGAATCTGTAAATTAATGGCTAGATGGATGAATGAACAAGAGAGTAAAGAACAAATAAATGAATGGATGACCACAGAAGAATGTGAGATGTGGGGTCCTGGTCAAAGCAAGAGCAGTCAGTGTATGATGCAGACAGCACACATGGGGGAGAGAGAAGAATGGCTCACAGAGTCCTATCACAGCTGCCTTGTAGGGACATGGCAGTCACTTTGTGTTTATCTCAAGCAGCATTCAGGAACCACTGGTGGATTCTGGAGAGTGACACTGCCTGCTTCCCAGTGTATGAGTGTGAATTGTTATATTGCCATAACAACATACCATAGACTGGGTGTTTCAACAACAGAGGTGTATTAATATTTTCTCACAGTTCAGGAGGCTGGACAGCCCGCGATCAAGGTGTTGGCAGGGTTGGTGTCTGGTGAGGGTTTTCTGTTCTGTGCAGACGTCTGGCTGCTCACTGTGAACTCCCATAGCCTTTCTTTTTGTGCATGCAGATGGAGAGTATGTGTTTGCAAGCTCCGTTGTATCTTTTCTTATCAGAACATTAATCCGGGGCCTCGCGACCTCATTTAGCCTTAATTGTACCTCTTAAGGACCCCGTCTCCAGCTATACTCTCATTGGGTTTAAGGCTTCAACATTTGAAGTCTGGGAGGGGAGCATTTCGGCACATCGCAGAGTGGTTCGGGAGCCTAAGGACTTGTACATCAGCATGAAGCCAGGTGGGAAACTGAGCTTGGAACTTCTGCATTTCCCGGGGAGGGAATCCCTGGCTGCTGACCAGCGTGGCAAGACTTTGATAACACCACTGTAACAATACTTCCACAGCATTTCACAGAGCGCCATCAACTACACAGCTACCCAGTCTTATTTCATTTTCCTGGCAAATCTGTGAAGTAGGTCTTGTGCCCGTTTTGCAGATGAGAAAAGTGAGCAGGAGAAGTGTCTGGCCCAGAGCCCCATAGTCCGTTAGTGGTGAAACGAATCCCTCTGCTCCAACTCATGTTGCAGTGCTCAGATCTTCCCAGTGAGGGGCTCACAGATTTCCTTTCCACTCCCAAGCTTTCCTTTTCAGGATATATTTAGGAGGCTTTGGGAATTCTGTTACCTGTGACATGAAGCAGCTAGACCTGGTGCATTGCAGACACACTAAAAATTACCTCAGGGGCTTCCTTGATGGCTCAGTGGTAAAGAATCCGCCTGCCAACACAGAAGACATAGGTTTGATCCCTGATCCAGGAAGATCCCGCATGCCGCAGAAGCAGCTAGGCCCATGCACCCCGTCTGTTGAGCCTGTGCTTTGGAGTCCAGGAGCTGCAGCTGCTGAAGTCTGAGTGCCCTAGAGCCTGTGCTCGGCAACAAGAGAAACCACCACTGTAAGAAACCTGTGCACTGCAACTAGAGAGGAGCCCCTGCTCTCCACAATTAGAGAAAAGCCCACACAGCAAAGAAGACCCAGCGCAGCCAATAAATAAATAAATAAAATTACTTTAAAAAAATTACCTCGGGCTTCCTTTTGTGGCTCAGCTGGTAAAGAATCTACCTGCAATGCGGGAGACCCAGGTTCGATTCCTGGTTTGGGAAGATCCTTGGAGAAAGGAAAGGCTACCCACTCTTGAATTCTGGCCAGGAGAATTCCATGGGCTGTATAGTCCATGGAGTTGCAAAGAGTTGGACATGGCTGAGCAATTTTCACTTTCAAAAATTACATCACAAGCAAAAATTAGGTAAAGGCATTCCTAATGAACTTCAGTTCAGTTCAGTCACTCTGTTGTGTCTGACTCTTTGCGACCCTATGGACTGCAGCACACCAGGCTTTCCTGTCCATCACCAACTCCCAGATTTTACCCAAACTCATGTCCATTGAGTCAGAGATGCCATCCAGCCATCTCATCCTCTGTTGTCTCCTTCTTCTCCCGCCTTCAATCTTTCCCAGCATCAGGGTCTTTTCCAGTGAGTCAGTTCTTCGCATCAGGTGGCCAAAGTATTGGAGTTTCAGCTTTAACATCAGTCCTTCCAGTGAACACCCAGGACTGATCTCCTTCAGGATGGACTGGTTGGATCTCCTTGCAGTCCAAGGGGCTCTCAAGAGTCTTCTCCAACACCACAGTTCAAAAGCATCAATTCTTTGGTGCTCAGCTTTCTTTATAGTCCAACTCTCAAATCCATACATGAGCACTGGAAAAACCATAGCTTTGATTAGATGGAGCTTTGCTGCAAAGTAATGTCTCTGCTTTTTAATATGCTGTCTAGGTTTGTCATAACCTTTCTTCCAGGGAGCAAGCCTCTTTTAATTTCATGGCTGCAATCACCATCTGCAGTAATTTTGGAGCCCCCCAAAATAAAGTCTCTCACTGTTTCCATTGCTTCCCCATCTATTTGCCACGAAGTAATGGGACCAGATGCCATGATCTTAGTTATCTGAATGTTGAGTTTTAAGCCACCTTTTTTTCTTTCACTTTCAAGAGACTCTCTAGTTCTTCTCCACTTTATGTCATAAGGGTGGTGTCATCTGCATATCTGAGGTTATTGATATTTCTCCTGGCAATCTTGATTCTAGCTTGTGCTTCATCCAGCCCAGCGTTACTGACATAGTGAACTGAGAAAACTTTCCCTGAGTTTAGTCATCTAACAATTTGTATTTTGCTTTTAAAGTGCTGAAATTAAACCTGTCTTATTCTCTTGGTCAGTACAACAGGGTTTGGATTCCTGATTCTGAAGAAGTTTGGAAGTCTGCTGAAATAGCAAAGGACTATAGAGTTGGTGACAAAGTCTTGCAACTCCTGCTGGAGGATGGAACGGTGAGGGTCCTTGGTCCTAGCTACCTTGATGTATAAAGGAGGAACCGTGGGGTGTGTACAGGAGGGACAGGCAGGTGTTGCTGTGGGTGCAGCCCACGGGTGGGCACATGAGAGGGCAGCTGGTACTGTGGATCCAGCTGTGTTCGTACACCCCTCCCCACCAGCCCTGCCCCCACCCCACACTACCTTAAGATATCAAGTGTCCTACATCAGCTGAGCCTATCTCTGGAGTGAGAAGCAGTGGACAGGTCCGTGTTCTGCGCTGCCTTTCTGGGGATTCAGCAATGTTGGGAGGATGCTGAAATAAAGATTTTATTTTGGTTTTATGAGTCTCAGCAGAGACTGGGTGAATATGAGAAACTTGGAGAGGAAGTTATTTGAGTCATTGAGCTATAAAGACATCTTACTGGGTCCATAGCTAGGCTGACCTTAGGTTTTTAGAATCAAGTCTCTGGGTGCAGAGCTGGACAAAGGATTTTCATGATCTATCTGGATGTGGGAGTTAGTCTGGGGAATATCATGTGAATATTAAAGTGCTGGGATTTTCAAGGTATGGAAATGTCTGTTAGAGACAGAGCACGATATTGCCCATCAGTCAGACTGTCCTGGATTCGGGGGTCATTTCCTGAGATTCTGGAAAGAGAGACAAACACAGCAGTTTAAAAAGGGCACGTGCTCTAGATTCAGACTATCTGGATTCAAGTCCTGCCACAGCCACTCACTAAGTCTGAGCCCATGAGTCCTCACCTTCGTTACATGTCAGCTGAAGTTAGCAGCAGCAGGACCTCACAGGACTGCTGGAGACCAGGTGAGGTCATGCTTGGGGGTGTGTGCAGATGCAGGGGATGAGGCCGAGATGCTGTTCTTTCCACTTAGCCTTTCCTTTCCCAGAAGATACTCCTGGGGGGCAATTGTTGAACCTCAGTCATCTGATTAGGGATCAGATGGCTTTGGAGAGAAAAATCTCAGGGCGGCAGTTGCAGTGGCAGTGTGTTGCTTTCGTAACATGAGCAGGGCTTCAGGTGGCCGCATTCCTGGCCCTGAATCAGCTGCCCGGACAGAGGAGGAGGGGGAGAGACAGGTAAGGTGACAGGCGGCCACACTGCGCTTTATTTAACCCATTGTCTATACCATGAAGAACAAAGCCTGCTTTGTGTAAGAAAATGTCACCTCTGTCTCCAACAGTCAGGCTTATGTTCTTCACATTCACGTTCCCCCTCCCCCAGAGACCGTTCCGTTCATCTTTCCCTCTGTTTCTTTTACACATAAAATGTACACGTGTGCACACACACACAGTGGCTCAACTGGAAAAGGAGGCTGTTGATTTAAAGCAGATAACAGAAAAACTCAGGAAAAGTAAAAAATTATATATGAGTAGCACTTTTCTTTATCTTATTCTTGAAAGTGTGTAGGTTAAGAATAGCCTGCTTGGGGCAGGTCCGTAAACAAAACTGCATTGATAACAAGCAGGCAGCTGCTCCGGGGACCTGTGCCCAGCTGTCCTGGAGTGCCCCGAGCTGCTCTCCTTATGGAAAATGGCCCAACACATCAAACCCCCTGCCAGCGCTGACGGAGGCATCCCAACACAGGCTTCAGAGTCAGCCAGGCCCATGTTAACTGTGTGACCTTGGACAAGGAGCTTAACCTCTCTGAGTCTCTCTCTTTAACTCTTAGTTTGGGATGCCATGCCCTCCTTGGAGAGCAGTTTTGAGGATCAAGTGGAAACCAGTGCAGAGTACTTGGCCCAGGGGCTGCAGAGCGGGCTCTTGCTAAGGGGGCAGCTGGGTCTCCTTTTGCACCTTGTGCCTTCCTGGGAAGGTGGGAGGGAAGCAAACCTGCTGGGTGACTTTGCTCAAGTCACTTCCCCAAGCTGAGAAATGAAAGCTCAGGAAGGTAGAACAGGTGGTAAAAAGGGCCCTGAGTGCTCTGACACTACAAGACCCACAAGACCTTTATTCTGCTCAGGCAGTTACTTCCGGAATACTCACTGGTTAAATCCCACAGAAGAGGGGCCATCCTGGGCCAGTTACTCGGTCCAGGCTGAGGTTGATGGACACAGGCAGCCTGCAGCAGGAGACGTGTGCCCCTGGGAACACAGGCAGCTGCAGGCAGGAGTCACCTGCGCAGGGAGCTGCCCACGGAGACTCACCCACATCGGCTCCTTTGGACAGTCCTCACCACAAGAATGTCGACCTCCAACAGAGATGCAGCAACCTTAGAGCTTCAAGGGACCTTAGATCACTGAGTCATTTAGCGAAAGAATCTTATTTTTAAGTGAAAATTTTCGTGGCACCCAGAGGCTGAATCACATACAAGCAGAGCCCCTGTGTCAGAAATCGGACAGGGTGCCCAGGTCCCTGGCCATATGGCTTCCCTGTCACCCCTCATTGAGGGCTCTGTAGCTCCGAGGACCCCCAACCCGGTCCATCTTGTCTTTTCACAGATGAGAGAAGGGAGCGCCAGAGAGGTTGAGTGACACACCCTAGGGCATACAGTCAATACCTTGATTCCCTGGCTCCCAAAATTCAGATTATTTTCTCACTGATGTACATATATTTGTTTTCCAGAGTGCCAAAGAGGGGTAGATAGGAAAGAGGGCAGTGATTCAGCAGAAACACTCCAAATCTTTTACTTCCAGAGCTTTAATTTCATCTTTGTCCAAAGGAGCTGGATTATTCCATTGATCCTGAATGTCTGCCTCCACTTCGGAATCCTGACATCCTTGTGGGTGAGAACGACCTCACAGCCCTCAGCTACCTCCACGAGCCTGCGGTGCTCCACAATCTCAGAATCCGTTTTGCAGAATCCAAACTCATTTACACCTACAGCGGTAAGGAAAGCAATTCCAGGAGAGCAGGAATGACACTGAAATTTAATGCTTGCTGTCTACAGCATCCTGATTATGTTTTAAATTATGTTTACATTAGAAATGTCGACTTCTGTCAAAATGTGTAATCACACCTAAACATTTGCCCAGATTTCTATCTAAAAGATACAGACATCTGAATGTAGAATATCTGTTATAAAATGAACTATCTAGGTGGGAAGAGTCTTCAACAAAAACTAAGATTGGACTACCAAGAAAAATGTATGTAGGTAAAGCTCGTGTTTGAGTTTCTATTGGGTGTGATAAGTTTATTACTGGAGCAATATTATCATTATGTTTACACTGAGGACGGTAAGAGCCTCTCAGTTTTAGTGCATTGCCATCTGCCATCTTGTCTAACCTTAAGAGTGGCCTAGAAATGTAGGTGACGTCATCAGAGAACTGAGATTCAGAGCATAAAGTGACCTACCCAGAGTCACACTTCAGGTTTAATGAGTAGCTGAGCTGAAAGTTTCTCTAAAGACCTGAAGAGGTGACATCACTGCATCCAACATCTTTCCTCAGGAATCATCTTGGTGGCCATGAATCCTTACAAGCAGCTGCCGATATATGGAGATGCCATCATCTACGCCTACAGTGGGCAGAACATGGGCGACATGGACCCACACATATTTGCTGTGGCAGAAGAGGCATACAAGCAGATGGCCAGGTAGGGCTTCCTCTTATTCTCCCAATGCTTCTGCATTTGCTGGGCCCTCACAGTGGCAGGGAGACAGCTGGCCCAGTCTCATTAAAAGTGACCCTCAGAGACTTTCCTGATGGTCCAGTGGTTAAGAATCTACCTTGCAATGCAGGGGATGTGGGTAGGATCCCTGGTCTAGGAACTAGACATGTTGCAGAACAACTAAGCCCACTGCTACAACTAGGGAGTCCATGGCACCACAAAGATCCTACATGCTGTTCCTAAGACCAACAGCTAAATAAATAGTTATTTTTAAGTGACCATCAGACTGGAGGGGGTGCTTGGTAGAGCAGACTGACTTGGACCAAATAGCAAATGACTGTTAGATATAGCTGACCTGTCTCCACCAAGTCTCCTGGTTTTACTTCTAGGTAGTCCCGTCGGTCCTATGAATCTGAGAATAATCAATGCTTTTCTTGCAGTGTGTTTGGTTGGAAGAAAATTGATTCATTCTCCACTATGAGATGTTTAGGCTTTTTTACCCAGCCAGGTCAAAAGACTCTAAAAATAAATGAGCACAGGTTTTAGCTGTAGGATATTTGAAGTTTTATGCTAATTTTGCCTCTTCTTTCTCGTGTGGTATGTGAAGTTCTTATTTTGTTAGTGCAGGACGAGACATTGTGCACACACTCCCACACATCACCCTGAGTGCCCTCAAAAGAGCCCATGATGAGAATGCCTAAGCAGTGGTCAGACGACTGAGATTTGAAGCCATCCACCCAGGGTCACTCAGCAAGAGAAAGGCAGAGCTGGGATTTTCCCTCAGATTTCTAGATTCCGTGTGTAATTTCTTTTCCTCATAACTATTCTGTTTTGTCTTCAGCATCCTGATCTGTAAAAAGATCTTTGTAGGTCCTTACAGTTTGCAAAAGAACTTGCATAGACAGTGGTCTTGTTTGAGTCTGGGAACACCTCTGTGAAGTCTTATAAGCTGCCGTCAGTACCTTATTTCCAGATCAAGACTTGAGACACAGGACCTGAATCTGCTACTATTTACCTGGACACAGCCCTGAGCTCCCTTAGCTTCAGGGTCCTCACCTGTGAGCTAGATGCTCAGTGACTTAAACAAGGTAGAATTGCATGATTCTCTCATGCAGAAAAGTCTGATGCGCAGTCCAGGGCCAGCATGCCACCTCCAGCAGTGGGTCATCAGAGGCCCAGCACTTTCCAGCATCCTGATCCTTGGGGCAGGACCCACAGCCTCAGAGCCAAGCTAGTGCTCAGCCCCCTTCTCTCTTTTCTAGGCTACAGAGTGTTCCAGGGAAAAGGTGTGTCCCTCCTGGTTAAGGAGCCCTCCCAGAAGCCCTACAGAGCACTTCTGCTCATAGCTTATTGGTCGGGATCTACTCACATGACTGTGCCTAGCTGCAAGGGAAGCTGGGATATGTAGTCTTTTGTATGAGCAGCAACATGCCCACTAAGAACTGGAGCTTAGACCCTGAGGAGCATGGGGAGGATGACTATTGGGTCTAGAATGATCAATTAATAACCAATCACCTGGGACACTTGAACCCCATGTCCTTAAGCTCAGCAGGTATTCTCCATGCTCCAGTCAGGCCATGAAAGACTCTGAGACTCCCTCTTCTTTGAAACACATCAGAGGCTGGGAGACAGGCCAGCTTTGCTCTTGAGGACACCAGCTAGTCCCGAACCTGCCATCCCTACTCAGGTGCTATGACAAATGATGTTAATTCTCCCCCTTTCCTCAGCCCTGGAGTAGCATGGAGACTCAGGAGCAGAGGGCAGCCACGCCTGACAGTGCCAGAAAGTAAAAGATCTTGAAGACTCCCCCCAAAATTGCCAATTACCTTGGCTTCCGCTGCAGCAAGTTTCCTTTCAACCCTAAAACATTATGGTTCTAGGATTTACCTTGGCCCCTGCAGGTCTCCAGGGCATCTGCGAGATTAGAATCTGTGTGCCTCAGAGCATATAGGACTACTCCTGGGTGTCAACAGCATGAGCTCATTGGAGCTTCAGAGCTCAGCCAGGTTCAAGCTTGAAGAGCCAGGTTCCCCTAGAGGCCTATCTAACTGCAATAGCATAACTGAACATAAAGCAGGTTCTTGTTAGACTTGTTGATACTACACTGGGAATCAGGAGAGCTGGCTTCAGTAACCCCAGAGTGTCATTCATGTCCTTAGCATCTTGACATCCTCTGTGGAACCAGGGACTCTCTCTCTAATGTCCTCTCTAGAGTTCCCAGGGAGGCTGTGTGTTCTGTGCATCACCAAGTCACTGTTATAGTCATCTGTAAAATGGATATACAGTATGTGGTTTAGGATTCTTGTAGGTTTAAATGAGAATCCTTGTAAATTATTCACCAAGACCCTGACACACAAGCAGTGCTAGGATGGCACTGTAATAAGGTTCTACCATCATCATCTTATGACGTGAAAAGTTCAGTGCTTTTTTTTAAGATCTCCATGTTATATAACAGAGTATGTTGGCTTGTGGAGCACACGTTTCCAGGCACATCTCAATTAATTGTTCTCAAATAATGTCTTAAAAATGTTTTTATATTTAAGTGAAAGGAGAAAGGAGGTAACAGAGGCCTGAGACTGCTGTCCTTAGAGAATTACATGCAAGTTTGGCCCATGGTGAGCCTTTGGGAACTTGGATTTCAGGAGGGTTCATAGAATTTCCTAATTGCTGAGTAACAATTATGAGTGACTCACTATACCTAAACTATTTGTGTGAACAAGGTGGTTCAGGCTGAACATCCGCTTTCCTTCTGGGCATCTGGAATTTTGGTATGTGATAGGAGAGGATACCTATGTGACCAGCCCCCAATAAAAACCCTGGACACTGAGTCTCTATTGAGCTTCCTGGGTAAACAGTGTTTCCCATGTGTTGTCATAATTCATTGCTGGAGGAAGTAAGTGCATCCTGTGTGACCCCCCCCCCCGGGAGAGGACTCTTGGAAGTTCACACCTGGCCTCATCTGGACTCAGCCCATGCGCCATTGACCCTTGCTGATTTACTCTGTCTCCTTCTGGTGTAGTAAGTCTTAACCACGAGTACAAATGTGTGCTGAGACCTGTGAGTCCTCCCAGTGGATCACTGGGCTGGGATTGACCTTGGGAACTCAGTACAGGGGACACAGCAGGAGGCAAAGTTGTGCGTCCAGCAGGATCACAGAGAAAAAGACTAGAAGGAAATTCACTGGCATGTTAAAAAAGTTACTTTAGCATGATAAAACCAAGTCCCTTCTGACTTATCTGCATTTTTATTAGTGCGCATATATTGCCTTTTTAATGGGAAGAAATGAACATTTTAAAAGAATTTTTAAAAAATCCTTTTGTTTGCCCTAGAAACAATAAAAACCAGTCAATAATTGTAAGTGGGGAGTCTGGTGCTGGAAAGACAGTGTCTGCTCGCTATGCCATGAGGTACTTTGCCACCGTCAGCAAGTCCAGCAGTAATGCTCACGTGGAAGACAAGGTCCTAGCATCAAACCCCATAACTGAGGTGGGTACCCTGTGGGGATGGGGAGTGGGGGCAGAGACGTATATATGGAGACGTGGGCTGGTTCATGTATATAGGTTCATGTATAAAGGTGTTTCATCACGCTTTGCTTGATTGTGCTTTACAGATATTTCTTTTTTTTTTTTTAAACTAACTGAAGATTTATGGCAACTCTGTGTCAACCAAGTCTTATCAGCTCATTTTTTCAAACAGCCTTTGCTTATTTTTTGTCTCTGTGTCATGTTTTGATAACTCTCACGGTGTTTCAAACCCTCCACCAGCAAAAAGATTATGGCTTGTTAAAGGGTCAGATGATGGTTAGCATTTTTTTTTTTTAGCAAAAAAATTTTTTAAATTAAAGTGTGTACATTGTTTTTTAGATACAGTGCTATTTCACAGTTAATACACTATATAGTACAGTGCAAACATAACTTATCTGCACTGAGAAACCAGAAAATTCATGTGACTTTTATTGTGACATTTGCTTTATTGCAGTGGTCTGGAACAAAAGCCATAGTGTCTTCAAGGTATGCCTGTATGTGGTCCTTTAAAGACCAAAGAAGTAAGGCCAGGAAGTCTGTTCCCCGGTGTGATTTGTAGGAGACTAGGGCACGGATTGCTGGTTCCAAAGCTTCTTTGCTCTACCTGCTGGGCTAGAAGTTCTACCATCAGGATTTTAGGAGTCCCCTGTTTACATTTATATCCCAGGGGAAATTTCCTCAGCCACAGACACAACTGGTACGCTGAGACCAGCAGTGTTCTCTAGCCAACCAACACCAACTTTCATAAGCTGATTTTTAAACATTCAGGAATTTTTTTCCAAGTTATTTTTAAAGCCTTGGTAGCTTGAAATCAGTCATGGTGGAAATATTTACACCTTTCAAACTGGTAAATGTCACATATCCAGGCTCTTCCTCCTTCCTTCCCCAAGACTGACTCTTAGCACACCACTGACTTGGGCAAACATATGGGCAAGGCCACCAATGATGGCACCAAGGAGTAAGGAGACAGCCCTCGAGGAAGAGGAGCATCTGACAGCTCAGGGGAGAGGGAAATGAATCAATTTGGATTTATTTGGAAGCATAGAAAATAGTTAAAACTGTTAGATTCTTAGACCTTTTCTTTCTGCGCTCTCGAATCAAAATCCTCAATGAATATTTATCAGACCACCTATTTTGTTCAAGTCACTATGCCTGATAATACAGGAAGTAAGGAAAAGATTAAGGTCCAATCCCCAAGTTTTAAGACTCCTCTAACATAGCCTATTTTAAATTTAAATAGAAAGATAAATCACAACCCAAGATCGCAGTAAAAAGGTTGTCAAGAAACACTATGCTGTTAAATGCCTGCAGGATAATATTGTGTGGCTGTCTTTAGGGTTGGTCTCACCTGCAGCTATAAGCTCCATGAAGGCGGGACCATGTTTACTTGGTTCATCGCTGCCTACCAAGCATGTGGACCATGGCAGGTGCTGAGTAAACATGTGTTGTCTGAAAGTATAATGACCTGGACAGGAGTGCAGTATTTGTGCATAAGAAAGATACTTCTGTATGTAGGGTGCCCAGAAAGGGAGAGGACAAGAGGAGAGACAGAAGTCAAGAGCAGAAGTAAAAAGCAAAAATCATGCTCAGTGTGGGAGGGATGGTAGAGGGCTGTCTTTTGGTTGAGTAGAAAGTTTGAGTAGGGAAGTGATAAGGGATAAGGACAAAAATAAAGGTTGGATGAAGGAAGTGGACTTTAAGCATCTCTAATATTTTAGGCCTAGATGAGTTGAGGCACTTTATATTGATACTATCTCATTTAATCCTCCCAACTCTGTAAGATGCATCCTTGTATTACAGATAGAGAAACTGAGACTTGGAAAGATGCTTGCTAGCATCACACAGATAGTAAAAATGAACCTGGGGCCATGAAACATCAGAACTCATGCTTTCCCTGATCCTGCTCAGTGTCTATCAGTAAAATTGAGGAGAGCCTTGAAGTAAGATTGAGGAGATCCTCCTGCCCCCAATCCCTCCCAGCATCAGGTCTTTTCAAATGAGTCAGCTCTTCGCATCAGGTGGCCAGAGTATTGGAGTTTCAGCTTCAGCATCAGTCCTTCCAGTGAACACCCAGGACTGATCTCCTTTAGGATGGACTGGTTGGATCTCCTTGCAGTCCAAGGGACTCTCAAGACTCCTCTCCAACACCACAGTTCAAAAGCATCAATTCTTCAGCTTTCTTCACAGTCCAACTCTCACATCCATACATGACTACTAGAAAAACCATAGCCTTGACTAGACGGACCTTAGTTGTCAAAGTAATGTCTATGTTTTTTCATATGCTATCTAGGTTGGTCATAACTTTCCTTCCAGGGAGTAAGCATCTTTTAATTTCATGGCTGCAGTCACCATCTGCAGTGATTTTGGAGCCCGAAAAAATAGTCTGACACTGTTTCCACTATTTCCCCATCTATTTCCCATGAAGTGATGGGACCAGATGCCATTATCTTAGTTTTCTTAATGTTGAGCTTTAAGCCAGCTTTTTCACTCTCCTCTTTCACTTTCATCAAGAGCATTGGAAAAGACCCTGATGCTGGGAGGGATTGGGGGCAGGAGGAGAAGGGGACGACAGAGGATAAGATGGCTGGATGGCATCACCAACTCGATGGACGTGAATTTGGGTAAACTCTGGGAGTTGGTGATGGACAGGGAGGCCTGGCATGCTGCGATTCATGGGGTTGCAGAGTTGGACACGACTGAGCAACTGAACTGAACTGAAGGATATGTTTCATTCTCTGCAAGCACCTGCCTTCCAGCCTCCCTCTCTAATCAGATTTTCCCCTAGCATACAGGATTGGATTTTACTATAACTGCTCCAAGAATATGAATGCAAAGGTTTTTTAGTGTTGTTGCTATGTTTTGTAGGCTGTTGGAAATGCCAAGACCACCCGCAATGACAACAGCAGTCGGTTTGGGAAATACACGGAAATTAGTTTTGATGAGAGAAATCAAATTATAGGCGCGAACATGAGAACTTACCTGCTGGAGAAATCCAGAGTTGTCTTTCAAGTAAGGATAAAAATATTAGTTAAATTTTCTTTTTCACCACCTATGTATAGTATGGCTCACATTTATGTATTCATTAGACAACTTATGTTGTTTGGTGACTTGAAGTAGAATTTTCCTATCTTTCATTTGCAGTGTGGGCTATTTTTTTCTGTTTCTTAAAAATGAAAATTGATGATAGGTACAGTATCAGTAGAATTTCACGATCAAGGGAAAAGTTTATGACTTTCAGTTTTAGGCACTTTAAAAATTCTTAGCATTTAAAGATTGTTTGTCTTTCTAGAACACAAAAACTACTCAAAATGGACCAAGTTGTTACTTTTTTTGTATTAGGAAGAGAATGGGATCAGAGCTAGTGAGGTGGGGTTTAAGAGAAAGATTCTTCTGTCCATAAAATGGAGAAAATTATCTTCATTTTGACGCAGAAGGAGAGAAAGAATAAGCCTTGCATTGCAAGGAGTTTCTTTAAAATTTCAACTGGTACAAATTACATTATTCCCGTTTCATAGAATGTTTTCGTTTAATATCATTTTCTCTGAGGTGGTTATTTGGAAGGCGATCTTGGACCACCAGGTTGGGTCACAGCAAAAACACAGGTAGATGTCCATATCCTTGAGATCAGATTAACCATCTAAAACCCTCTTAGGGAAAACCTCACATTTTCATTTGTAAAGGTCTGGTGTGATTTCAGGATTCCTCTTTATTTTACAGTCAGAAAATGAACGAAATTACCACATTTTCTATCAGCTTTGTGCATCTGCACAGCAGTCGGAATTTAAACATCTTAAATTAGGTACGTAATGCATGGTGTGTAGAAGAGTCTCTTTTTTGTGTAAGAATTTAAATTCTAGGTTAATCTCTTCTTTTTATAATAACATCACTTTAAAAAAGTATTCTGTCCAAAAACATAAGATCCTTCAGTTCCAGGAGTGGAATTGATGCATTTAACTAAGAAGATAGATTAGTTAGGGGCATATTGGTCCAGGAATTAGGTACCCTTCAACCCCAGGGTTCTTTTCAAAGCTCCAGAACAATGGAGATCATCCAGCTAGAATCACCAGAAGAAGGCTTCTGACCACTGGGACTTACTGATCTAAGTCCTCAAATTTTATTTTTATCTGAATTTCCTTGGATGGTCATTTTTCTAAGGTATGACATATTTCCCTTTCTCCTGAGACAGAGTATCTATATCATAATTTGAACATTCTTGAAAATTCAAAATCATTATTAATTGTAATCATAATTAATGAGCCACTTTTCCTTTAGTGCAAACAGCCCAACTCCTATGGTACCTCAGCTTTCCTGTCTTGGTCACCCTGCCTGAGTTGGTAAATAGAATTGTCTAGTGTATTGGAGTTGAATGCATACTCTCTAATCCTGAAGAATTTGCTTGCACTTGTAGAATCTAAGTTTCTTCAGATGTTATATAATGATAGTATCCATGCCTTGTATGCCAAACAGAATGCAAATAGTGAACATGGAAGGGCTTTCTGAAGTGTCACTTACTATTCAAATTTAGGTGCACATCTGGTTATTATCTTGACCATGGTGATGTTTTTATAACAGTATACATATATCAAAACTCATCAAGTTTTCTACAGTTCATCATACATTCAATGAACCTCAGTAAAGCTATATGAAATTGTTAGGTGTGGGAACAAAAACCATGTGCTCTGGAGTCAAGCCTGCATTTTACTTCTCGCTCTGCCACAGTCACTATTTGACTGTGAGTGGGCCATTTCACTTTTCTGAGCCTCAATGTTTGAGTCAGCAACGTAGAATTCTAAGGAGTCAGTGGAAAAACATCATGAAGTGCTTAATACAGCACATTAAGTGTGAACTGCTCTTCTTGCTTCTGATAAACATGTATGTTCACCTTCTTGTGTCATAAACATCAGTATCTTTTGATTTCAGGGAGTGCAGAAGAATTTAATTATACGCGAATGGGAGGCAGTACGGTCCTTGAGGGTGTGAATGACAGAGCTGACATGATAGAGACTCAGAAGACCTTCACACTGCTGGGTGAGCGAAAATATCCTATCCCAGGAGTGGCCATCTTCTCTAAGAACGTGGGGATGCCCAGCATGCATGTGTTCTGAAGACATCTAATCAATTCCAAGTTTAGGATGTTGCTGTTGTGTTAGTTGCTCAGTTGTGCCCAACTCTTTGTGACCCCATGGACTGTAGCCCACCAGGCTCCTCTGTCCATGGGATTCTCCAGGCAACTGGAGTGGGTTGCCATTCCCTTCTCCAGGGGATCTTCCCAACACAGGGATCAAACTCAGGTCACCTGCTTTGTAGGTTGATTCTTTTACTGTCTGAGACACCAGGGAAGCCCAATTTTAGGATGAGTCAATCAAAAAACATATTTAGAGGCCAAAGGATCTAGATTGTGTGTTTCCCTTGACAGATCTAGAAATCAACTCCTTTGCACTCAGGCTCGCTGGCTTGCTGTGAGAAGCATGAGCCATAAACCCTGTGGATGCTCATAAGCACTTCCAGGCTGACTACAAAGAAGACAGGTGAAAGGAGAGGTCTGAATCAGTTTAGAGGTGTGATGTGGAGCCTACTCGGCCTTGATAGGTATCCTGATGATCATGGTAAAATAAGGGACACCTATGTGGAGTTCACTATGCACCAGGCACTATTCTAAACACTTTGTTACCTGTATTAATTCATTTAAACCTTATAACCACCTTATTAGGTAGATGCTTGTTTTTTTTGTTTTTTTTTTTTTGCATTTACAATAGGAAAACTGAGGCATGGAGATAGTAAATGATTTACCCAAGGTTTGGGTGGCTAGTAAAGAGCAGAACTGGAATTTATACTCAGGGTCTTTAGACATATCATTTGTATACAGAAAACCTGATCTTTAATTGCTAAGATGATGACCCAGGTGAAGTAGGTACTCTTCAGTTTTTTCCCACCTTTCCTTTCCCACATGGACCTCAATTTTGAAAAGATGACAAGTGATATTTATAAAAATAGTCATTCACTTTCCCATTTTGTGTTAGTCTAGACATACATGCAACACTGCCAGTCAAACCTTACGATCAATGTGAGACTATAGACCATTTTTACATCTTACAGAAAATATTCATATCTTATTAGCCCTAGCTGCTTTCATTGTTGTGGCTTAGTTGATGATATTTGAATGCAAAAAGCAAAGAACTTGAGGTTAAATATATCAGGGTAATAGGCAAGACGAGCACAGTTGTATAATTGAGAATGAACACAAGATGGTTTCCTAAGCACAATTTCCATCCAATTCTGCTTTTTCAAAATTGCTTTAGGATTCCCCTGATGGTCCAGTGGTTAAGACTTTGCCTGCCAATGCAGAGAATATGGGTTCAATCCCTGGTTGGGGAATTAAGATCCCACTTTCCTCACAGCCAAAAAAACAAAATATAAAATGGAAGCAATATTGCAACAAATTCAATAAAGCCTTGCTCCTTACCCTTTGGGTCCTTACCCAAATTCAATAAAATGGTCCACATGGAAAAAAAAAATCTTAAGTGACCGCTTTAAGAAGGGCAATGTAGACAGTGTCTAATAATGTGATCCTGCTTCCAGGGCTTCCCTGGTGGCTCATAATGGTAAAGCGTCTGTCTGAATACTGGAGACCTGGGTTCGATCCCTGGGTCGGGAAGATCCCCTGGAAAAGGAAATGGCAACCCACTCCAGTACTCTTGCCTGGAAAATCCCGTGGACAGAGGAGCCTGGTAGGCTACAGTCCATGGGGTCACAAAGAGTTGGACACGACTGAGCGACTTTAATAATGTGATAAGCAGTTTTGGTGCTTATTAACATTTTCTTAAAATAATAATCATGATTTCAATCTCTGTGTAACGTGCTCCATTGAGAGGCAGCACGAGGAGGGGACGGGCAGCCTAGCTCTGGCAGGGCTCCCAGGGGACCTGTCCTTCCTTCCCACCTCTGTAATGTGTCACCTCACAGTGAAATGATGCAGGCAAAAAGAAGAGGCTTTGCAATCAACTAAGCAAGAATTAAAAGCCAAGTTGGCAGGACTCTGGAGGTTACACTCTCTAAGACTCAGTTTCTTGATCTGTAGAATGGCTGTATTCCTTACCCACAGGACACTTGTGACAACTGGTAGGGAAATGTACGCAGCACCAGGCTGAGCACACAGCAGATATTTGCTAAATGCTCCTGCCTGCTTTCTGTCTCTATGTACTATACCGTGTCGTCCAAGTCCTAGCCATCCTTTGAGCAAAACCATCCTCCTCCAGGAAGCCCTCCCTAATTACTGGAAGTAGCAGCAGCAATCTTTTCCACTTTATCACATACATTAGATCATTTTACAAATGTCCACGCCAGCAAGGCCAGGACTAGCGTGGGACAAGAGAGGCAGCCGGGGTGCAGAGTTTAAGGATTCCTTGCTCGGAGGATGGCATGAGTGCAGAGCTGGCCGTGGACACCTCGCTTGTGCTACCATGGCCCCAGCCCTGCACACCAGGCCTAGATGTTTTAGGCAAAGCCCCCAGATTTTGTGGGGAACAAGTATAGCAGTCCGCTGCCTCCAGTGGCTGATAAAGGAGATGGCTGCCCACTGTGCTGTGTGAAGGGGGCTGGAAAGAAAGAGGCAGAGCTGTTCTGCTTCACTCCTTTCTGGGATTTGTCTTAGAGAGTGACTGGGCATGACTGGCAGGGCGACCATAGAATCTGCACCTGCTTACTTCCCACCAAGTCTTGTTATTTAAACACACTAGCCTGGTGACGTCCTTACTCTGATGGCCTGTGCTTGGCCTCACAGTTTAGCACTTAATTATCTATTGTCATGAATTTGCTCACGTTTTTTCCCATGCATCATAGAATAGGTCTGTGGCCTCACACGTGCGTGAGTGCTAAGTCACTTCAGTCATGTCCGTCTCTTTGCGACCCTATGGACTGTAGGTAGACCTCCAGGCTCTTCTGTTCTTGGGATTCTCCAGTCAAGAATACTGGAGTGAGTTGCTATTTCCTCCTCCAAGGTATCTTCCCCACCCACGGATCAAACCCACGTCTCTTGTGTAGCCTACATCGGCAGGCAGGTTCTTTACCACTAGCACCACCTGGCACAGGTCAGTTATTATCTCTGGGCATCAGATTCCCCATCTGTACACTGGCACAGCAATGAAAATACTCAGTCATTTCAGTTATTTATTTCTGTACTCCAAATCTTGGTAGCTTAAAATGACTGTTTTTATAACATATGACATAATTTATCTGTTCCTCTATTACAAACATTCAGGTTATTACTGGATTATTGTCATTAAGATGAAACTTTAATGAACAATTAATTCCATTTAACAAATAACCATTAAAACTGAAAACAATCCAGCACTATTTTAAATGATCTTAACTATGAGTGCTACACTTTGAGAAAGTGACTTAATGCCAGTGGCTCTCAATACTGGAATATCAGGTCACCTGAGACTTTTCTTTTAAATTCTAACATCTAGATATCACCCCAGACCTATTAAATCTGAATAAGAATATCTGCAAATAAAGATATATCTGAAAGAGAAAAAATTATCATGCAGAAACTTCTCATTCTAATCTATGAACTATGTGAAAACTTTAAGATAGACATTTCCAATAAAAAATGTCTAACTCTGGGCTTCTTTCCATTAGGAATTTATGAACTAACATTCAATTTCTACCCTAGTCAATGGTTCTAACAAAACTTCTCATTTTAAAAAGATCAGGGACTTCCCTGGCGATCCAGTGGTTAAGACTTCACCTTCCAATGCAAGGAGTGCAATTTCGATCCCTAGTCAGGGAGCTGATATCCACCTGCCTCGTGGCCAAAATAATAAAACATAAAACAGAAGCAGTATTGTAACAAGTTCAATAAAGACTTTAAAATGGTCCACATTTTTAAAAATCTTTTTAAAAAACTCCTTTAAAAAGTCAGATTTTTTTTTTGCTACAAAATTTTATTTTCCAAAGTTCACTTAAACTGAACAAAAGAAAATCTTTATAGAGAAATATACAGTTCTTAATGTTTCTCCACATGCATGCATTGGAGATGGCTATGAGTCCTCTAAGAATAAGAACTTTATCAATAAGCCAGATACAAAATAATAAATATTGTATGATTCCTCTTATATGAGGTACCAATAATAGGCAAATTCATAGAGACAGAAAATAGAAGAGAGGTTACCAAGAGCTAAGGAGAGGGAGGAATAGGGAATCATTCAATAATGACTACAGAATTTCTGTTTGGAATGATTTTCTTTAAAAGTCCTGGAAATGGATGGTTGCACAGTATTGTGAATGCAGTTTAACTGCATTGAATTAGACACTTTTAAATGGTAAAATATATAAATAAATAATCTGATAATTTATCATTGTTTCTTGTGACTCTGGGCTGACTGGGCTCAGCTGGGCATTTCTCGCTTGGGGACTCTTGTCTGGTGGTGGCAGGGGTTCGATCAGCTGTAGACTTCTGTCATATGGGCTGGGGTGACTGGAACTGCTGGGGGCTGGGCAGGCTTTCTCTCTCTCCATGTGGCCTTCCTCATGCATGCTGGCCTCAGGGTACATGGACTGCACATGAGGCTATCTTTTCCCATGAGCCAATTCCAATAGGCTCAGGTAGGCTCTGTGGGTCTTTTTATGAACCAGCCTCAGAAGCAGTGCAGCATCGCTACTGCTATGTTCTTATAATCAAAAGCAAGGCAGAGGATCAGCTCAGAGTCATGACCCTCAGGGAAGGAACCACAAAGGGTATGAACAATTGGAGGGTGATGCATTGTGGGGGGTCATCTTTGGAGCGTAGCCATCACAGTTGCTGTTAGGGATGTTGTGGGGATTAAGAGAGGATGTCTTAAATGGTTTGTGAACTGTGGTATGCTCTGTCAGTGTGAGAGATCAGTATGCATTTAATGAAAGCATGACCTCAATGCATGAATCACTAAAAAAATGTCTTTGGCCAGAGGTTGGCAGATTGCAGCCTTTTTTTGTAAATAAACTTTTATTGGAACACAGAGACACACTTTTAAGTATGATCTATAGCT